TGGATCGATTCAGTGACTGGGGTAATCGGGATGGGTGTGTCAGAGGCAATGTGATTGGCACAGGATAGAGCAGAGTTTAGGGCTGTTGTACATCGGGTCGCTATGAGTCGCAAGCGACTCGACGCACATAACAACAACAACAACATTGGTGTGTGCCATTAAGTCAGAATCGACTCATAACTGATCCTCCAGTGGGTTTTCAGAAGCAATTGATCATACCGTAGATTGTCCATCCTTCTGCAAAGCAGCTGCTGGATTCAAACTTCATGCTTTTGGAATTGCAGGGCAGCTTCTTGCCACTAGACCACCAGATATAGATAGATAGAGATAGAGATAGAGATAGAGATAGAGATAGAGATAGAGACATATATAGATAGACATATAGATATAAATATAGATTAGATATAGATATAGACGATATAGATATAGATATAGAGATAGATATAGATATAGATAGATTATATAGATATAGAGATAGAGATAGATGCTATAGATACAGATATAGAGATAGAGATAGATATGTTGTTGTTGTTATGTGCCGTTGAGTCCTTTGCGACTCATAGCAACCCTGTGTACAACAGTCCTAAACCCTGCTCTATCCTGCGCCAACCGCACTGCCTCCGACACACCCATCCCGATTACCCCAGTCACCGAATCTATCCACCTCATAAAGGGTCTTCCCCTCCTGCACTGTATGGATATAAATATTAGTTATTGTTGTTGTTAAGTGCCACTGAGTCATAGATGACTCATAGTGACCCTTTAAATGAGAAACCTGAAGACTTGTATAACTTTCATCATTTCTCAAAATCCGTAGGGTTTCCAGAGGTAAGCCATTTCAGAGGTGGATGCCACTCCTACTTCCAAGCTTGTTTTCAATGGGGAGCTCCACCAAACACTGTCCACCATGGGTAACCATTATCACATTTGATACATCAGTGTCACAGTGTTTAGCATCACAGCAACCACAAGTTACCTCTGTGTAGCAAATGGACAGACCAGAGCTATACCACTTAGAAGAATGTTTGACTAACAACAATGAAAACCAGGCCTGAGGGCCACAGATTAAAATCACCCGTCCACCTATGACTTGGTAGCATAACTTTCTATCCACTAGGCCAATAGTTTCTCTTGTTGTTGTTATTGTTGAATACTTTTAGTATTGTTTTTTAATACTATTAATATTTTTTAATTTTTCACTCCCCCACTACAACATAAGCTCTACAAAACAAATCCATAGGCAAAGATTCTATTTGGATTTGTTTCAATTCTCAGTCCTAGAACCTAGAATATTGTTTCTGTGTACCATCTACTCAGAAATGACCCATAATTGACCCTCCAGTGGGTTTTCAGAGTCAGTAATCGCACCAGAGGAGAATGTCCATCCTTCTCCCGTGAAGCACTTGGTGCATTCAAACCACCTGTTTTTGGGATTGCAGTGCAGATTCTTACCACTAGAGCTCCCTTAGGTGTAAGGGTATTCAAAATAAAACAAAACAGAACAAAGAAAACAACCACAAAAATCCCAATACAAAAGCAACCAGACCAGAATTCAAGAGAGTCTAGTTAAAAATCAAAACAACTCCAGCAATAGGAAACAGGCAGTTCACATAGCTGGCCAATAACTGAAGTATCATCAGCGTGAGACACGGTCCCAGTCCACTCCTACTGGACTAGCTGATCCCCGAAATGAGTGGAAGTTTATGGCTTTGCACAGCAAATTCCTGCAGGGCAAGATGACCCTAAGCCTGCATTTAGAGCCTTGGAGGCAGAACAATATTAAACATGTAAAATTTAGGTGAAAACAGTGCAAGAGAATGCTGGTAATTCAGATGCTGGGAACAAATAATGGGGAGGAAGAAGGAGGAAGAAGAGAGAAAAGGCTGGATGGAAGGAGGTGGGAAGAGAGACTATTATGGAGATGGAAGATGAGTGGTAGACCTAATTTTAAACTTGACCTTGGGTGCCAACCCATGTATGACTCTGGACCAGTTAGCCTCCTTTTTAATCTCCACCCCCACACCTACTTTGACAATGTGGGTCAGCTTGAGCCACCTCACAGGTCAGCTTTCCACAGTCCAGAGGACTCCAATGACCCATTTAGAACAGGTCCTGCCACTCACAAGGGGTATTAGCAAGGGCTGACCTGGCCCAGAGCCCCAAGAACTCAATCAGTGAGGCTGGGCTACCCAGATGAGGGTTTGGGGCAGCAGACATGCTTCCAGTAGTCTCATGGGTGACACGGCGGAGTCAGCCTGGAGTTCAGGAGGAGGGTGAGGAAAGCTTGGGGAGATGGCTAAACTGGGCTCGCTGTGGGTGTACGTTTGTGGGGGCGGCTGACTCATTCTAAGCATAACCTCCAAATGAAAGTGGTGCCTGGAGCCTCCAGGTCACCCTCCTGAGCCCCTCTGCTCCTTCTCCTCCTTCAGTTATGGAAGCCTCCTGGGGCTAGAAAACCTGGCGCAGATTCAAAACTTGAGAGAGGAAGGTTTATGCATGTTTGCCACTAATTCAAGTGTCTGAAAAGCCGTGGGCAGCCCACACAGGCCATCTGTTTGCTTGTGCCCTTGGGGAGGGAGTTGGGACCCGTAGCACACAGCTTCTGGCATCCCAGGCCCCACGCCCCTTACTTGTAAGGGTTGATGTTGCAGATGGTGACTGCGGGGAAGTCCAGCTTCTGGAAGTGTACTTTGATGGAGACAGAGACGGAATAGAAGGAGAGGATGAGGAGCGCGCACTGCCAGATGATGAGGGTCACGGCGATGAGCGTGAAGAGGATCCAGAGCAGGCGCCGGAGGCGGCCCCGGGACACCACGATGCGCCGGCAGCCATGCGTGTTGGTGTTGAGACAATACCATTTCATCAGCTCCTTGATGGTGGGCGCCTGGGGCCCGGTCACCGGCAGGTTCTTCTTGATTTTGGCTTTGATCTTCTCTCCTGGAGCCATGGTCAGCTAGGACCTGGAGGGGTGGAGGGACAGAGAAGAAGAGCTAATCAACAGCTTCCCAGGGCCAGCCCCGCAAACCCATGGGTGCGCTCCCATGATGCTTTCATTCTCCTCCCATGGGACTGACAGTCTGCAGCCTGAGGCTTTGGCCCTTTCTCCACGCTTTCTGTATTTGGCCATTTAGCATCTGATAGCTGGCTTCTCCTCTTAAAAAACAAAAAATTAAAAACTGTAGTTTGCATATGTTGTTGTTTATGTACCATAGTCTGAACAGCCCATAGCTGACCCCCAGGCAGGTTTTCAGAGGCAGTTAATGGCACAGGAGGAGATTGTCCATCCTTCTCCTGCAGAACAGCTGGTGGGATTCGAACCGCATGCCTTTGGAATTACAGCACAGTTTCTTGCCACTAGGCCACCAGAACTCCCTGGTTTGCATATAATCATTCATAATACATCGTGTTTTGTGCACAAAGACATGCCTTCTCTTCTTGTAGCCCCTCTGTCTCGGCCTGCACTAGGTTGGTTTAACCTGTGAGTGTCCCAGAAAACTATATTGCTGGGTATCTTTGCCACGTGCCCTTGAGGAGCCCCAGTGGTTCTCTGCACCTCTCAGACCATCCTCTGCTGTGACTGGAGAATTGCACCCCAAGGCTTATGGCCTCCAGTAGCCTGTCTCCCTAAAGGCAGCGATATTCTTATATCCTTATGTTCCTGGGCACAGTGCCTGGCACCCAGTAGAGGCTTCCCAGAGAACCTTCAGAACCTTCAGAAGCCAGCTGCCAGGGCACTTCCCGGTAACCACCTGAGACCACTTCAGAGCCTTCCTGGTCATACTTTTCCCGGCCATTTTTAATGTACCTTATTGTAAGTGGAACGATTTCTGTTTCATTTCTCTTTCTCGTTAAGCTCTCCATGTTTGTAGAGCACCACATGTAACAAGAGCTTGCAAACCTCAGCCACACATTTGCCAGGTGCTGGGCCATGTTTCCTTGATTCTGAAACACCACTGACTTGAGGAATGCACCCCAGTTAATGCCAGCTGTTGAGAGGGGTGTGGGTTGCTGGAAAGCAAATAACTAATGATATTTATCCATGTGCAGGATGCATTTTAGTTAGGGAAAGTTTATAATGTGGAATACCACTTGTTTTCTATAGTCTTGTGTCATGTTTATAAGCCTTCATCAGATGTATTCTTTCTATCTATGTAGTTAGCTAGCTGACTTAACTCTGTGTGTGTGTGTGTGTGTGTGTGTGTGTGTGTGTGTGTAGTTTTCATGTCACACTTCACCAATCTTGAAGTAGTAATATTATGTTCATCTCCCTTTTACAGAGGAGGAAAATAAGCTCAGAGCAGTGGAGTAATTTATGAATGATCCCAGACACACGGCTGGTAAAGGAAGGAGCTGGATTGGAACCCTTCCTACTTAGTCAGTACACAGGCACATGCCCTTGAGGACCTGATATATTGTGAGCTGCTCCTCCTTCCCCTAACAGTTAAGTCAGCAGCATCTGGAACTACAGAACAGGTGCTCTGGTGGCATAGTTCACAGCATGTGGTACTATTAACTAAAAGGCCACCAGTCTCCAGGAGTTCAAATCCACTAGAGGCTTCTCAGGAGAAAGAGAGGTAGTGTTCTTTTTAGATTTACAGTAATAAATGTTGCAGAGGATGTGGAGAGATAGGAATTCTTATACATTGTTGGTGGGGTTGTAAAATGGTACAACCACTTTGGAAGGCAATCTGATGTTTTCTCAGAAAGCTAAGCATAGAAATTCCTTATGACTCAGCTATTCCACTGCTTAAAATATACCCTGAGAAAAATGAGAACTGAAGCACAGAGACTTGTACACCAATTTTCATAGCAGCATTATTCACCATTGCAAGAACATGGAAACAGCCTAGATGTCCAACCACAATCAAATGGATTGATAAAACTATGGTACATTCAAATGAGAGAATACTGCACAGCACTCAGGAGCAATGATTTTGTAAATCAGTACCTAACTTGAGAGGGACTAGAGAGTATTATGCTAAGGGCACTAACTCAGTCCCATAAGGACAAATACTGTATAAGCCCATTATTAATAGAAATAGATAACTACAGTCAATGTGATGGTGAGTGTCTATTGGCTACTGGTTATTATTAAAGAATTTTCAAATACTGGGAAACCTATGGAGCTGTTCTGCTCTGTCATATGGGTTCAATATGTACCTGAATTGATTCAATGAGACACAATAGTAACATATATAATATAGTTCTATTTTCTAACTTTTTATAAACACCGTGAAGATTTTTTAAATAAAATTTTTATTTTTTAAAAAAGAAATAGATAACTAGTAAAACATGTATGAGGATCTAAGGGGGGAGCAGAGGGGTGAGGATGGGCAAGGGGATAATCACAGGGTTGCACAGTTTGAGGGATGGAGGGGGTTGGGTTAAGGAGGTGGCAGGGATCTGTGTGAGAAGCAATGTATACAAACTTTGTAGATAAACCAGTGTAAATAAGGAAGGAAGGGAGGAAGGAAGGAGAAAAAAGGTTTACATTTTGGAAAGCCACTGAGTCAGAACCAATTCAATGGTAGTGAATGAGCGTATGGGACCACAGGTAAGGTGCAGGAGAAAGAAGACTGAATAATTTCATTTTCAAACTTGACACATGAATGTGACGGCTTCCCAAGCTCTGTGGTACTGACTGACTACTGTCCTTCCTGCTCTCCACAGGGAATAGAAACAAATTAGGATGTACTGTTTGGAAAGAAGTCTCATGTCCCCAGAGGGTTTACATCTGGGACCAGGACTAGCATTCGCTTCATCAGATTCTTCAGAGAATGCGACTTTTATCAACCATAAACCCATGGGATCTGATTCAACATCAGGAGATCTTCACACTGCTGATGCTAGTGAATTTCAGGGTTAGGAAGCAAAGGGAATAGGGTTCTGGTGGGGCTGAGATGCCCATAAGCCACCAGCCTTCCCCGGACCCCCTTAGACTTGAGATTCTCTTTAGTCCAGGAACTAGGCTTGCGATTTTGCTGAGGTGTAGAAAACCATCTCTGACCCTCAAAATTACATCATTAATCTCTTCCCCAATAAAGAATATTTTTTAATTATTTTAAAAAATTTTCCATCCCCTTGGTGACCAGGGATAAAAAGTGAATGAGAGGAGAGTAAAAATTAAAAATTAGGTAAACTGGGTGACTGTACAAATGTAACATACAAAAAGGGGTCAATCTGGCATTGTAATTAACTTATTATATCCATCAATTACAACTAGGACTATAAAACAACATGCATATGAGTGGTAAATGAAAACCCAAATTGGTGTGTAAACTTTCACTCAAATGTCTTTCAAATGTTAAAATACACAAATAACAAAAATGTTAAAGAGATTCAAATAAATACTTGCTGTCCATCCTCACTTCTTTGTTCACTCTAATCTCAAAACAAAATTGCTAGTTTATTTGCCTGTAAATTGGTTTTCAAAACCTACGTCCAGATTCAGTTTTCTCTAAAATGGAACCACAGCCCAGGGAAGGTTTCCTCCACTGTACATGCCCCACCAAACCTGTGATTTGGGGAGAAGGGGGCCTTCTCTTTGAAGAGAACCCCCAGGAGACCTTCTACCTTAACAGCCCCTTCCCCAGACCGGGTCCCCACCATACTCCTGCCACCTGCACAGTCACTGTTGTCAGAGGCAAAAGGCGGAAACTTAATTCACTCACCACAAAACCTATTTCAAGGGGAGCTCTGGTGACCTAGTGGCAAAAAGCTGCACTACAATCCCAGAGGTACACAGTTCGAATCCACCAAATGCTCTGCTGGAGAAGGAGGGGCAATCTCCTCCTGTACCAGTCAGATCAGATTTGACAGTACACACACACACACACACACTCTATAATAAAATAAAAATTTAAAAAATTTTAAAAAACCAAACCTATTTCAACTTACAAGAATAAGGTGAGATGCTACTAGCTTGTACTGATTGATTAGACATGATGTGTTTGTGGACAACTGGCCCGGCACTCACTCTTCTAAATCCTCGGCTGGTACTAAATTTTCACAAGCATCTTCTAAGTTGGGTACCAGATTCTCTCCATTTTACAAACGAGACAGCTGAGGTCCTGAGTGATTAAATAACTTATCCAATTGCAATGGAAAGTGCCTGAGCTGACTCGGACTGGAGAATCCATGCTTTGAGCTGCTCTTTTAACAGCAGCAGGAACAGCAGGAACGGACGAGCCATTTCTTGATGCCTTTACTCCACTCCCCGGCATCTCACTAAGCCCTTTTTGCTCATTATGTAGGATTCTAGAAAATAGCGCCCTGGTGACAAAACCTGCTGCTCCTTGAAAGGATGCCAGTTCAACCCACCCAGAGACACAGGCCTGGCCAGCTGCTCTGGTCAAGACTAAACTAAAAACAAAAACACCACAAAAAAAACACTCCTCAAACTTGTTGCTATCAAGTCCATGTTGACTCAAAGCAACCAAATACAGATTCCTGTCTAAAAAACCCCCTTGGATCATTCCACTGTCACATGGGGCTGCTTTGAGTCTCAATCCACTCCACTGACACTTAATGACACAACCTTATGAACTACTTACTATTGCTGTGCCCATTTCACAGAGGTAGAGACTAAGGCTCAGAGAGTCATGCAACTTGAGTAACTTCCCCAAGACAGGAAGGCGGCAATGTATTCTTTGGAATTCGAGAGCTGGGGCTCAAGATAGAGATGGTGTGGGTCTACTGTACCCTATCTGTCCCCCACTTGTACACCCTAGGTCACTGTGGAAGAAGCGAAGTTAGAAGGAGAGTATGGCAGGACGCGGGCAGGAAAGCCTAGGACCAGCAGTACTGGTTCATGACGCTGTCTCTCTGTGCTGTCCGTCTGTCATGCTGTGAGCGTGCTCCGAGTCTGAGCTTCTCCAGGCCGGCAAGACCCCAGGCCTGACACCCCTCACGGAGCGGCTGACCAGGCGTTGTCAGTCCTGGGACCAA